ATATAAATATAAATTAAATAAGAAATTTTCTCAAAAAATAATTGATTAAATTAATAAAATTATAACTAATATATTACAATTTATTTAATATATAAATTCATTTCATAATTTAATTATAAAGTTATAATATTAGAGGTTTTTTCGAACAGTAGTGAAATACAACAACAAAAAATTAGCAAAAATAAAAAGTCAAGTACGGCTTTGGGTCAGTTGGTTAAGGTGCGCTGATTCTGAGCTTCACATTTGGCAGGACCCGAGTTCGTTTCCTGGTACTTGCAGTCTCAAAAATAATTATTTGCGAATAATTAAATACTAGTATTATTTCCAAGACCACTGATGATGGGTATATGGTAATAATCGAAACAGCTGTATAGGCAGCCAAAAATTCAATTGAATTAAAATAATATAAAATGGATTTTTGTTGTTGTAGTTTACTACTGTTTGAAGAAACCTCTTTATGAAATATAATAAGTTTATATTACATATAATAGTCACTTCCGTCTGAAAAATTTGACGTTAAATTTCAACTGATATATTGTTAGTATATAAATAATTTATATACATTTACATTATTTTAGAATTAAGACATTATATATTAATAAATATTAATAAATAAATTTATTTATATATTAACATAGATTTTTTATTGTAAAATTTTTGTGGTTCAGGATTATCTACTATCGGGATAAATTTATTAAATCTTTATAATAATATAAATATCTATTAAACATATTGGACATGAAAATTGCATCAGAATTTATAACAATCAGATGGCGTCTTTATATGATTGCATATATATATCACTTTAGATGACTGAGTTCGGTCTTGCTGTTGATGTGCGCAATTTATTTGCACCCTGATTCCAGTGACAAGTTGAAATTGAGTACATAGGCTTATAGCTAGCGGCCCCTCTTCATTAATTTGAAATCCGAACTCACATTAAATTTTAACTGGGTGATCATTTTCGGCAAAAAACCGTATAAGGAGAGCTATTCGAAATACCACATGCTTAGGAAAAAAGAAGTTAAAAAAATTTCTCATTAGTGTAATAAAATTCGTGGTAAAATTTCTATAGAGGTTTTATCTGTTCTTTATCAAAATTTGAAGCCATAGTACTTATAGTTCTTATACTTTTTTTAGAGGGTTTCGATTACCAAAGAAAGAAAGGACAAAAACCAAAATTTAGTTAATTTATTAAAATTTGGCTGACAATACAACGCTGTTTCGAGTATTGCCAAGTACTCATCATCAGTGGTTTTAGGAAATATTCGAATTTCTTAATTGGTTTATATAGTTCGTATATAATTTAGTTAAACTGCAAGTGCCAGACTTAGTTCTTATACTTTTTCTGTTATTAAAGATTTAAGATAGATTACAATTATTTATCTTCCAATTTCTTGTTATTTTTTGCTTAAACACAAAGAATAATTCAATGAGTGCCCTGCTTCTACTTTGCCCGTCAAATATAATAAAAAAGTAGATTTTGCTTGATATGATTGATATGATAAATGTCTAAATTAAAAGGTTTGATAGTCTGTTTTTGAAAACAATACTTGTTGAGAAAGTAATTAAAACTTTTAGGTATTAACAAATCAATATGGTAAGAGCAGACTACTAATCCTGTTTTAATAGTTTTTGTTTTAATTAAAAATAATTTCTACGTAAAATTGAAAAACGTTGGGATTTCATAATAATGAAGCATGACAAAGTTTTCTCCAGAAAATTGATGGACAAAAATAAAAAAAAATTGAAATGCATAAAATCAAATATAAAATCGCAGACATGAAACCTATTGTCATGCTTCTGAAATTATGCAATTGAAATTAATTGGCAAATCTTAAAAGTTTTACGCGATTTTTTTTATGTTTGCGCTATTAAAAAATTAAAGTTTCCATTTCACACTTGATTAGGTGGCGTGCCAGAGCGAATGCAATTCTGTCAAAATATGTGTTGCAGTTTCATATGCGGATCACTAACAATGCCAGACTTGATGTGGCAACATGCAAGAGACGTGCCTTAAAATTGCTCTACAATCAGCGAACAGAACGTGACAAGTGACACCAATTTTATCACCTTTTCTCCTCTCTATTTAACGGGTATTTTAGTAGTTTTGTTGGCTTTGTAGCATTGTTCGTTGCACATTGCATATTGCCTATTGCACATTGCATAGAGCGCAGCACATTGTTGCATATCGCGTGTTGCAGATGCACGTTTGTCGATTATGTGCGCAGTTTTGTAAGTTAATGGAGATGATTTGTTTGCCTTCTTATGTTGCATCTTGTTATGCACCATAATAGTTAAGCAGCATATTTGGAAAGGTTACCTATGTGCTGCGGGCATCAGTGTTTGCATATATGCGCTCCATAACTTCATAAATTGCCTATAACAGAACAAAGTTACAGCTTCAGTCATAGCGATATTATTACGGTATAAGCAAACCGTTGCATTGGCTTACAGATGTTTGTTGGTGTGTGGTGCATTTTACAGGTTGGACACACTTTTCCATAAAAATTCGTACTGAAAAGCATATGTTAGTTTTGTAGTTCGATAATGAAAGTTCATTGAGTTCAATGGAAATGGAAATGCATATGCGAAACAATGTATAAGTTTTTCTTTCAGTACAACATGCTTAACTTGGTGAAACTTGCTAGTGAATTTCTGCTGGTGGCCTGATTGCCCTCAACATGGCATTTGAAGGTTTAAATTTGTAGACTTCCATATACTGGCATACGTAATAGCTGTGGTCTGATATTTTTATGTATGTGCCATTGCTGGGTTTAGTGCATTGTTGAAGTCACTGCGGTTGGCTTGTGGCTTCATACTGTGCACTCACATATGAACTGGCATGTGGTATGCATTTTCCAAAAGTAAAAACATACGACAGCGAAAAAAAAAACTTTAAATAACTTAGAAATGATGCTGCATATTCACTTGCAGAAGTGATGTTTTTATTTAGCTGGTCCATACAGCCCGTACTTCATATCCAAATGGCTTGGTCAGAGCTTAAGTGGAAATCTGGAAGTGTGCATGTAGCGTGAATTATGAAAATGACAAATTACGGTTAAAAACTGCGATGAACTCCAGCTGATGAACTGTGTTTCGCAATCGAATATATTGAATTATTTGGCAATCTACATAGAACAGTTAGTACGGTTCCTTAGCATAATTGTACGACAAAATAGTAAATATATTCGTATTTGAATTATTTTTTGGTTGATTTTGCTTTTTGGTTTTCTGAAAACCTTGGCCAATTGTTTTGCAGCATTTGACATATGCGGGAAAAATCGTGCATTATAGTTTTTCTTATTCGTTCTCTTGATATTTTGTTATTTTTGCACCACAATCATATTTCGCAATCATTTGAAATAATTTTTCATAGAATTGTTACACGTAATTTGATCGTGAAATATGTTGTTGACGAAAACACCTTTTATGGAAGATACCCAAAAATGGTAGTTCTCTGTCAAAGCCAAATGTGAAAGGAACTTTAATCAAATTGAACTCAAAATCGCATATGTGAACACGTAGAAAACACAACACACGAAATCGGCTTTTTATTTTAGTGGTGCCTCAAAAATCAATCGCATTGATCACATTACTTGTCTTTATTTCAAAGTAATTCAGTTGACATTTTATAATAAATTTTTAAAAAGGTTAAAATATTTAAATCGTAATTATTGGAGGAGTGTGATAAAAGTTTGAAACGAAAAATAAAATGTATTTAATGTTAATTTTTACTTGCCGAGAATGACAAGTTAAATTCGAATTGCAAAGAAAAAACAAGGACAAAAATTTATTTAATTTATTGAAATTTGGCTGACCATACAACGTTGTTTCAAGTATTGCCAAGTACTCATCATCAATGGTCTAAGCAAACATTCGAATTTCTTAATTACTTTATAGTCCGTATACAATTTCTTTGGACTGCAATTACTATTTGAATGCGTCTAATACAATGGATTGTTTTTGTATTACATACATACAAAACCGGAATTTATATAAAATTATTACTTTGCTATTTTAAGCAGATTGAAAAAAATGTTTATTATTTAGCACATTAATAAAAATAATTTCCAAAGGAATCCTCAAGACATACGAGGAAGATATCGTTCTTCAGTTATGCAGATATGTTCAGCCGTAGTCAGATTGATTACTTCAAAGAGAAAGAACAAAATAGAAACAATTGGAAGAAAGCTCATAGTTGCCCTATATTCTGTTAGGAATATCGTTAAATTTATATGTGTTTATTTACATACATACATTATTATAAGCATATTTTACCGAGAGTAACTCTTTTGAAGTTCTTGAATTAGAAGTAAAATCTCTTTCGAAATGAAATGAAGGAATATATTTATACAATCGTGTATTCTTTAATAATGTATCGTGATTATTTAACATGATAAGAATATTTTGAACTTATGAAGTAATTTGACAGCACCCTCCCAGACTTAGTTTCTGGACATGTGTCTGCTCTACTAGGGTAGACTCAAGCTTTTATAATTTTATAAAAGTTCTAATTTATTTCAATTTTATACTATAGTATATATAGAAAATGATTTATTTTTATTTTCGAAAAATTGGCGTCAAGTGACTTATGCAGTTTTCTGTATAAAAAATAAATAAATAAATAAAAAGTACAATTTCTGCAATTTTGGGAATTTATCCATTGAAATTATTTTACTTGGGGTGCTCTTTTTTTAACGCAGATATATTCCTGATAGATATTTAGATAGATATATCCTTTGTTACCTGAAAATTCTGATAAAATCAAATTAACAAGCGGACTAAAAATATTAACCCGTTGTCAGTAAATAATAATAAAGGTCATGATACTTTCACTTGAGTCTTAATAGTTAGTGGATTTATTAGGGATATTGCCAGTATCAACTATTCC